TATTTGTAAGATATGCATTGTTTTATTGGCATGAAATGCATTGTTCTGAACGTAAAATCTACCCTGGTCTATTGGTAAGATCTGTCTTGTTCTATTGGTAAGATATGTCTTGTTCTATTGGCAAGATATGCCTTGTTCTATTTGTATGATATGCCCTGGTCTATTGGTAAGATATACATTGTTTTATTGGCAAGATCTGCCATGTTCTATTGGCATGATATGCCTTGTTCTATTGGCAAGATTTGCAATGTTCTATTAGTAAAATATGCATTGTTCTATTGATAAGATATGCCTTGTTCTATTGGTAAGATATGCCTTGTTCTATTGGCAAGATCTGCCCTGTTTTATTGGTAAGATATGCATTGTTCTATTGGCAAGATATGCATTGTTTTATTGGTAATATATGCCTTGTTCTATTGGCAAGATCTGCCCTGTTTTATTGGTAAGATATGCCTTGTTCTATTGGCAAAATATGCATTGTTCTATTGGAAAGATATGCATTGTTCTATTGGTAAGAAAGGCCTTGTTCTAACGGTTAGCTATGTCTAGTTCTATTGGTAAGATATGCCTTGTTCTATTGGTAAGATATGCATTGTTTTATTGGTAAGAAAGGCCTTGTTCTAACGGTTAGCTATGTCTAGTTCTATTGGTAAGATATGCCTTGTTCTATTGGTAAGATATGCATTGTTTTATTGGTAAGAAAGGCCTTGTTCTAACGGTTAGCTATGTCTAGTTCTATTGGTAAGATATGCCTTGTTCTATTGGTAAGATATGCCTTGTTCTATTGGTAAGATATGTTTTGTTTTATGGGCATGCTATGTCTTGTTCTATTGGCAAGATCTGCCCTGTTTTATTGGTAAGATATGCCTTGTTCAATTGAAAAGATCTGCTTTGTTCTGATGGTAAGATAAACCTTGTTATATTGGTATGATATGCCTTGTTCTATTGGTATGATACTCCTTGGTCTATTGGTAAGATACGCCTTGTTCTATTGGTAAGATATGCCTTGTTCTATAGGTAAGATATGCCTTGTTCTAACGGTATGATACTCATTGTTCTATTGGTAAGATACTCCTTGTTCTATTGGTAAGATATACCTTGTTCTAACGGTTAGCTATATCTAGTTCTATTGGTAAGATATGCCTTGTTCTATTGGTAAGATATGCATTGTTCTATTGGTATGATACTCCTTATTCTATTGGTATGATATGCCTTGTTCTATTGGTATAATACTCCTTTTTCTATTGGTAAGATACTCCTTGTTATATTGGTAAGATACTCTTTGTCCTATTGGTAAGATACGCCTTGTTCTATTGGTAAGATATGCCTTGTTCTGACGGTTAGCTATGTCTAGTTATATTGGTAAGATATGCATTGTTCTATTGGTAAAATATGCCTTGTTCTATTGGTAAGATATACCTTGTTCTATTGGTAAGATATGCCTAGTTCTATTGGTAAGATATGCATTGTTCTATTGGTAAGATATGCCTTGTTCTATTGGTAAGATATCTCTTGTTTTATTGGTAAGATATGCCTTGTGCATACATACATACATGCATACATACATACACATATACATACATACACATATACATACATACACACATATATACATGCATACATACATGGCTCCGAAAATTTGACAACCTAAACTTGTCCACACTTTTGGAATTACTCCTTTGCCCCATATACATACATACACATATACCTACATACACACATATATACATGCATACATAAGATATTTCAAAATACAAATAGCACAGTTAAGATCTTCACTAAGGAAACTACTTCCTTTAGTCAAATTATTAATATTAAACATTATTGTAACCACATATACAGGAGGGATTATCATTATGATGGTCTCTAAAGAGATCAGAGTTCAACTGACTTGCATGATTTCATAGTTTACATAATATTATGATAAAAGATATAGTCCCTTCATATTTAAAAATCTCAGTACATATATCTTCATTATTTTGGGGTATGGCATGATGCACAAACTGTTTTTTGAGTTCACTAATAGATCTCAATTATAATAGTTACAATAAGGTCTATTCCACCAAGACATTATGCTAGGAAAGAAACTGTTGAAATATGCATTAGATCTACAAATTGATGGTTCAAATATACGTTGATGTCGGACATGATGGGTCATAGCTTCATTGCTGACTATATAAGGTTCAACAATTTCAAAAAGATAAATAGGACTAACATGGTTAATTATTAAAAAAAAATAAAAAAATATGCTGCTGATCCTTTCTACGTTTCTTAAGAGTATCCCATCCAATTTCATTATAGATGATTTCATGACTAGTACCTCTTCGGAGACCAGCTAGCATTCTAGCATATAGCTGGATTGATTCAAGAAGATCTGATTCAGTTTGATTACAGTTATTCCATACAACACTAGCATACTCAAGATTTGTACGAATATATGACTTGTATATCATTTCTAGAGATTTCCTATCAAGTTTGAGCGACCTAAATATGTGCATTTTATTACATGTATTATTATATATGAAATTGATGTGATCAGACCACAAACAATGGCTGTTAAAAAAAATACCCAGATGTTTATGCTGTTTTACATTTACCACAGAATTGTTAAGAAATGTGAGATCAGGATGCATTTCATCTGCATTTAATTTATTTGATACAAGAAGAGCTTCTGTTTTACTAGGATTAAAGAATATACCCCATCTATGAGCCCAGCTAGATATTCTATTGAGATCATTGTTTAAAATTTCAGCAGCAGCCTTGTTATCATTTTCTATAAGTACAAACAGTGAGGTATCATCTGCAAATAATTTCACATTTGACTCAATTTCTTTTTCTATGTCATTTATATATCAAAGAAATAAATATGGCCCGAGGACTGAGCCCTTTGGGATACCGGCCTTAAGTGTACGCTAAGAAGACTTGTACCCATCAATTAAAACTCTTTGCTGTCTATCAGTTAAATAATTAGAAAGCCATTTTAGAAAATTGTCTTCAATAGCATGTTTTTCAATTTGTACACAAGTGCATCATGCCAGACCATATCAAAGGCCTTACTAATAATACAAAAACACAATTCTGGCCTCTTTTCTTCTATCAAGTTGCTTAAGAATTGAATCATACATTGCTAATGGCTGGTTAACTGTAGAATCTTTGGGGAGGAATCCAGATTGGTTCTTAGATATTATATGATTGATTGAAAGATAGTTTAACAAATATTTGAGCATAATTCTTTCAAGCATTTTACTAAACGGAGGAGTGATAGAAATAGGTCTGTAGTTTGATGGGTCACTTCTCTCACCTTTGCCCTTATATACAGCTGTGACATTGGCATTTTCCCAGACTTTAGGTAATTGACCAGATTCCACTGATTTATTAAAAAGAATATGTAATGGCTTTAGAAGAGATTCAGATACACCTTTGATAAACCTAGGGTGAATCTCATCAGGACTGCAGGCTTTTTTGGATTAATGAGGTCATAAACATCTTGTCTTCAATAGTTTTATCTGATGTAGAAATAGATGTGAAAACATAGTTAAATGATTCCGTCTTATCTACAGGATGCACTTTCAATTCACCATTAATTTCCAAAGGATAATCAGTATCATTTTTCTTTTTAGAGGTAAGAACGGATTTGGCAATTCTCCACCATTTACCTGGAGGGATATTTTTGTCAATAAGAGAATTTTGTAGTTTGCTAAAGTATTTTTGCTTCGCATCTCTAATAATTGAAATATCTGAATTACGTTATTGTCTGTATTTATCCCACAAGGTGACAGTATTTATTTGCTTTGCCTTATAATGTTGCCTATTTCTCAGCCTCATTTTCAGACGGATTTCATTATTCATCCATATTTTATCATCAGGTATAATTGTCACTGTCCTGTGTGGCACAATTGGATACAATTCCATTTAAGATTTCCATATCATCAATATTACTCAGCTCTTCATCCCATTCAATTGTTGATAAATAAGAATTAGCACTGGCAAAATCTGCATTATTAAAATAAATCGAAGTTTTTTTTAAAAGCAATTTTCCTTAGTGTCTTAAATGAAATTGTGGTACTAATAGCACAATGATCACTACGTGATGGTGGGTCCACAGTTACATTACATACATTATTACTGTCATTGGTCAATATATCATCAAGGGAAGTTGATGATGTTGAGGTTATTCTTGTAGGTTCAATTACAATATTATTCAATCCATACTTTATCATCAATCTTTTCATGTGAGAGTTTGGGGTCAAATTCAGCATATTCTGGTTAATATCAACAAGTAGTAAGACACTCATATTCAGATCAGAGATTTTTTCCAAGAATTTCATCCAACTTATCCCAGTAGTTAACTACGGAATTTGGAGCCCTATATAAGCATCCTACAAGCAATTGTTTATTTTGCTACTTAATTTCTGTCCAGACAACTTCAACATCATCCGATTCCAGGTCTAATCTACGTTTAGCAAGTATGTTATTCTTAGTATAAATAAGAAAACCACCACCTCGTCTATGCTGTCTGTCCTTGCGAAAGACTGTGGAAAAGGATACCTTTGTTTGTAAATACTTTGATTTTGCTGATCAAGTCCTTACACAGGATCACACGCACGTTTTACTCTAATTATAATTAGAAGTTAAAAATAACAAAAACAAAATACCTTCATAAATGTCAAAGTATTTAAAAGGACCTCTGCGAAGCATTCCGTGTTTGTATCGCGATATTTATTGTCCGACCTCTGCAAAGTATTAAACGTTTTAATATTTTTCTCATGCTATTTAATTCTATGAAGCGTACAACATGTTTTCTTTTAATCGTTTTAATCTTCGATAGATATTACCATAAAGTCAATTAGTCAATTGCTGTCGATAAACAAACGTCTAGATCTACCTTGGTTGACCTTGGACTCTCTCGGTGACCTTTATCTTTGCCCCTGACACCCCATGTGATAAGATTATTTGACAAATAGTATTCACTTGTTTAAAAATGCTCGTTGCCCATTTTCTCAAAGTTTTATTTGATCTTTCTACCACTCTTGCAACCGATAGATCAGTCTCTATTGTTGATGTATATGATGTATATGTCCATTAAATCCCCTTTGCTGCAGATGAAACCCCAAACGTAAACCATCCACAAGAATTAACGACATTCGGAATACAAGAAAGGACCAACAGTACACATGATTTTAATGATCACATTCACAAAATGTTCATGATCACATTCTTGTGAAATGAAATCCTTTTCTTCGTATTTTCTGACTCGTTATTGCTGTTTACAGTTTGCTGGGCGTCATAGAGTTATTTCCTCTGCCTCTGTGGAAGGAACAGAAATATACCAAATGTATAGGAATAAATGATGGGGCATATATTGTTTCAATATCATATATCAAATAATAATAGATTTAAACGTTAAGCGAAGTAGTTTTAATGCCAAACACGTCCCCCTCCTTCCTCAACTTCCTCCTCTCCTACTAACTATACAAGTTTTGCCAACATTCTCTGTCTTTTCAATTGTCCCCTGCACGGCGGTAAAAGAAAAGCACTTTGTCATATATTTAACTTACATGACCAGTTTTGAATACCTTGATTTCGTTATTTTGTAATTTATTGTTGCGGCAGTGATGATTCACTCTCTATACTCTGTATACATACTTACACAAAATAAGATGTCCAGTACAGACCTACGGTTGTTGACTTTGGTCTCAACCTCTGGCACCTTTTCGGACAGTTCTGGATGACAAATCAGAACCATATTGTGAATAATTCATTTATTAAGGATGCTTGTACTTAAATATAATAAATGAACTTCTGTTTTAAGTGATGTTAATACACGAAGCTGTTCCCTTGATTTAACAATATTAGCTACAGTTAGAGACTACACCGATTGGGGCTTCCAACTCTAGTTTACAGAGGCTTGCGCGGATACATGATAACCGTATTCAAGTTTGTGAATGTGCTGTACGATCCCAATTTGATGGAAGGTCTATTTGATTTCGCTGCATTCGGAAAAACTCATGGACACAGTCAAAAATACCTCAATCAATGTTGCCATTCAAATCTTATAAAGACCTGTGGGACAGTCTCCCTCAGACTGAAATTTCACCTCGTACTGTATTTGATTTTGAGATGCTGCTTCTGATAAATAGACTAGATCATTGTTTACCACAATGTAGAGGCAGCAATGCCTGCATCCACGAATATCCTATCAAATTCTGTTAAAATCCCTTTAAAATGAAGACAAAAATCGGGTTTGTATATCTACAATATTCTTCTTTCTGTCAAAACATGAACATACTTTTTATCTTTGAACTTTGGTATCAGAAGTTGCCCATACCGCTTTTTATTAACAGTTACTACCTCTATACAATACTTTCGTTTCCCATCAAAAGCCGAGTGTTTTTTCAAAGACTGGAGATCGCATTGGCAAATGAGAGGAGTACCCACCTATTTCTGTCAGCTCTACACAACTGTTTTCCATTGCATCTCCAAGGACTACGGTTGTTGTCGTCACTAGCAACGAAGACAGCGCCATGTACGTGCTGTTGTCATGTCGTCTGGCCGCAAGTGACATCATTGAACCAACAACTGGCTTCACAGCTACGCTAATCGCAATTTCTTTGGTTTCAGGATTTTCTCCATGATTCGGTACATTTGTGGTTACTGGAATATGAGTTAAGGCCGATAGTGGTATGTCAGGCTGTTGCGTAACAGCCAATGAACTGCAGTGTTTTTGTGTGTCATTGTTCAGATTTCTTTGGGGAGTACCAAGTGAACATGTGGACTGATTCCTGGGTTTCACTGTATCGTTCATGTTTACCTTTAGGTCTCGGTTTGTTGTTGTTTGACTTTTGTCAGACCCCTTCTCGCCATTTTTTACATATTTAAATGCAGTTTTGCCAAAAATCACTGCAGTACTTGTTTGTAGGACAGTTGACAAGGCGGAGACAGTGGTGCAGCGTTTTGGGACATAAATGGGGATAAAATATCCGTCCCTATCATGTCTATTAGTATCATGGTCGGTGCTTTCCTTAACCTTCCTTGAGTTGTGTTTGATTATAGCTTTGATGCCTGCCCTGTGAAATATAACTGGAGACACGCCCATTTTGAAGGCCGTGAACAATGCCAAGTTTACTGAATAGGGTGGTCGTTTCTTGTTCTGTGGAGATTTTACGTTAACAGCAACTGAGGGAACTTTTGGTGGCGATACTCGGTTGACTGAAGGTAAAATAGGGCGTTCTTGATTAACCGGCTTGATTGCTGACGAGAGACGTCCTTTATCGGTATTAACTGGCATCTCTGAAGCTATGGTGTCCGCCATGGTATGGTAGGTAACACACGTGGGATCGTCTTCACACACGGCTGAACACGTGTGATCCACATTCCCCAGGGACGACACACATAACGGTTTAGGTTTTGTTGTGTGTAGGTACTCAAAAGAACAGATTCTATCCAATGGCGTGATGCTGACGTCAGGTAGCCATAACGAGGTGTCCTGGTCATAGGTGGATCCCCAAGGCGCCGAGTACAGTGAGTCGATGGTATCCATGGGCTTAAAGACTTCCGTTGGTGACGCAGCTCTAGCAACGCTTGGCAACACATAATCTGGGGATTTGGGTCGGACGGGAAGATGCGTTGGACCATCAACTGGTGATCTCTTTTTGGTATCTGAAGTGTCATAAAGTGCCAGATTTACGTACCGTCACATTCCCGAGTGAAGTGGAATATTTACACTGTTTAGGTCATATTTAATACTGATATATATGGCGATATGCTATGTGTTCTTTTCATGAAGTAAGCCCTGTCCTTAAAGACCGTAAAGGACGAAAGCAAAACAAGAAAGAAATAGTATACAGATTGTTTTTATAGTTAGGGTCTAAGTATAAAGAGGGAATGACCTGGGCCATCAAATAACCGGTTTTACTAGTAAAACACATGCTATTTCTACGTTTAAAACAGATTTTAAGTTAAATATTTAAGTCTTGAAGTTGAATTTTCTTCCGTATTCGTGCCATGTGAAAAGAGATAATGTGTTCATACAATACAACAGAAATGTGGTACTCAATCAATGTAATTTCAAAACAAGTGCAGCATAAAGACTATTTTGAAACCCCCAAATGTAGTCCCGGGCCCATATTCATGAAATCGTTCTCATATTCAAGCATGAAGTATGTGCTCAAACAAGATTTCTTGTTTCTCGCTTAAATAATATCAAACGATCAAAAAATCAAATGCAAACATTGAAAACAGTTTTCGGCGTTAAGTTTCCTGGATATTTTTCCAAATCATGAACAAAATAATACATTTTTATTAATTTATAACGGGAACAAGAATTTCAGCTTCAGCATAAAATCCATGCTTGAGCATGAGAGCGGTTTCATAAATACGGGCCCAGATTTTTCCAGTTTCGTGCAAAACAACAGTCTATTTGCAGATCGCATGCAACCAGGTTTGAAGTACAAACTTTGAGCGCCACTGTTTCTTACCTGATGGAAATGTTGCCGACTTGTGCCGCACTTGGCTCAGTTCGTATGTGATGGTCCTCTGCGGTATGATTCCAGTTAAACACTGTTCGCCTATGTGAAATGAAGCCATTCTTTCGTCTCCAGTAGAACATAATCCGGCTTCATTGTTCAAAGTTTTTTCGCAGTCCGGAACTGCTTTGTCGAGTCCATAAGACGTCTTCGGATCCGTTTGTTGTGAATCTCCGCAACTCATTTCTACACACAGGTAATGGAATCACAATCAGTTGTCGCAGATACAACAGACATACTGACACGGTCAAACAACATACAAATGTGCTAGTAAATGACTTATGACTTTATGGATAAAAACTATGCATTCCGAAGTTGCCGGTAAAATAAACACGAATCTACCATTTCTATTGCTCAGAGGTTGCATTCAATTAATAGGAATGATGAAAAATAGAAATAAAAACTTACGTGGTTCTGCCTTGCTATAGTTGCCCGAGTTGCCGACTGTTGGGACTTCCGGTGTGTCGGATGACGTAATACCCTCAGCTTCCTGCTGCATTGTTACGTCCGGCTCAGGTTTAATACTCTGATTTTACAACAATGAAATATGAGATTTAATGAAACAAAATTTATATTGCTCCTTATACTTTCTGTGTATTTGTATCTTGCTCTAAAAGTCTATGCGACCATTGTGACAAAATTTTATTTTACAGAACTATGGCGCACTCGTAAAGTGACGTATGGTTACCATAATTTGCAGGTACAAATTTGTAATTCAAACTAGTACATACGAGTTATGATAAATTGCGAATCCAACATTTTATATGTTGGCCTTTATTTACAAAGTCATGAACATGAAATGCTAAGTTTAGTCGCAAAGTGTGAGTCTAGGCCATGAACAAAAGATGAACCGGTCGCCGGTGGTCGGTCCAGTTTAAATATGGTACATTTGGCTCTTTGAACTAAGTGTTAGACCCAGAGGACGCAAAATGTCAATATAAATTGTGTTTAAAATGCAAAAGGAAAAGAAAACGCAACATGCGGATCTGGATTCGAACCCAAGACCTTGATGAAGTTCCGGCACATTCCTCTATCCTTCAAAGTTGTCTGATCCTACATACCACTCTCTGTGAGAATATTTAGATGAATGTAAAATGTAAGAAAAGTCAAAGAGGAGGTGTTAACAGGAGTGTGAAGATGGGCGGATTGGTCGAGTGGTTAACACTCCGGCCTTCCAAGCAGGCGGCCGGGGTTCGATCCCTGAAGTCGCCGTACGCATGGAATATTATAGAAAGTGTTTTTCTCCTGCCCACACAACTCCAACAACCCAGGTGGAGTATAAAATGGTCTGGGGTGGGTGTTGCGGTATCTGTGCTGTAGCATTCAAGTGAGGCGGCACTATAAATGATATCGTTGGAAGCACGGTCCCACCACAAACAGAACACAATACATCTCCAGCTCACACACAGGCATACACACATAGGTAGATATTAGCCAGGTGGCATAGGACTAGTAGTTAGCGCCTGATAAGGCAGCCCCTGCGACTTCCTCAATATTTTATTGATTAATATATATATATATATGCTAATTGTATCGACTGTATACAAATTGTATATCTATGTACTGTAAAGCGATTTAGAGTGGCTTATGTTAGCTAGATAGGACTATATCAAATGTTGTATATTATTATATATTATTAAGATGTAGTATATTAGACATACAACCTGTATTTGTCACCCATAAGACACAGGAGAGCCTGTGTCAAACAAGTAAATATAGTTAAATGCAAATATTGGAAATTAACATTGCGAGAAACGCTAAAGTAGTATATTTACAATTGCCACTGTTTCTGAATCGACAACGTAAGTCTAGGCAAGTCTGTTTATTTCTCAATAATTTGAATGTAGAACGTGATCCAGTTCTCACCGCGTATGAATATATGTAAATATGGGCAGACTTTCCGCAAACCTCGTGTCAATGTTTACAAACAAACGCTAGCATTTAGACTACCATGCGTTCGAGACACCAACTGATGTCGGGTTCGAGACAAGACAGATCATGTTCATGACCGGTCATAAAAAAACCTAGTGTCAGGAGCTACAGTCGCGATTGTTCGTCGATACAAAAACGCTCCACCAGCTCTACTCGCTCATCTATGAGTGTCGTCAACCATGACACAGAAATAATGGCTATCGTTCCTAAAAGTGTAGGTCAAATTTCTTGTCTCCCAAATGTTACATCAACAGTCACTCGGCCGACAAACGATGTATACATATTATACCGTGTACATGTCATCTGTACAAACATCCGGTTTGCTTACATTCAACTTCCACCAGGCCTAGGCTAGTCACTATCACTCGACGACATACGTAGTAGCACTCTCTATTTAACGCCTTTGGGCGCATCACTTTTAAACGATGGATGTTCGCGGTCGTTAGTCTAATTTCTACTAAGTATTTTGCCCCAGTACCTAAATTTCATACAAATATAAAATTATTTATTCCATTACCTACTAATACAATTATGAAGATAGTGTATGAAGTAAAATATGGATATTTTATGTGAATAAAAATATTGAAATGAAGGAACTTTTTTCATTTGTTGTCACGGAGAAAGTGGGCGGGGTTTAGCTGTCTGTCAACGGCTTTTGCGAATGGCTGTTTCGCACGGATTGACATAACGTCAAAATAGTTTTGAACGCAGATTACTCAAGGTAAATGCTTGTATCCGACTCTTTTAATGGTGTTATTGTTAAAAGGAAATATTGTAAATATAAGGATTAACCTTTTATTTTGCTTTGTTTATGAGATAATAAATCCAACGGAGCAGTCGGTAAATTGTTCGTAAACGTTTGCGTTTACGCAATTTACCTCGTGCTCCATTGGATTTATTATCTCATAAACTAAACAAAATTGAAGGTTAATCCTTAAATAACTTGACTACCAACATCCGCCAGTCGTGCTGAATTCGTGCAATCATCTAACCGCGAAAATACGAACTCTGCCGTGAAAATAAAGATGTACAGTTATTTTGCACACGTCAGTTTGCGTGAGAGAAGTAACCATGTCCTCCGACACTTCAGACACAACACTTTGACTTACCTCTAACACAAGAAGTGGATAACTTCCTACAAACATGTAACATCCACGAAGCCTGACTTCGTTGCCAATGGTAAGAAAGCTTCGGTGGTTACTGAGACGCATTTATGACGTCATCAAATTGTTGAGTTTGTTGTCATTGTTTTATGACGTCACACACAAGAACACGGGTTATTTAGAATCTCTTAAACGGAATTTAAATGACATTTTGCTTGTATTAGCCTTCCGCAAGTCGGTTACATCTACATGTCTATGGGAATAACCGATTAACGTTGTATACTGGCCGTCACGAACTAAAAAAAACATACACAATCCTGTCAATAATTATGTTTACATTTGAACGTACTGTGTGTGGTTAATGATTTTTGTTGCCTCCAAATCAACCAAAATTCAAAAACCTTTAATTAAATAACTAGCCGAAATCTTGTTTTTTTTTACTGAATTTAAATAATTAATATACATTTTTAACTAATGACCATAAGAACCATAAATGAAAATCGAAAAATATATAGAATTAGGTAAGTATTCAATATAAAATACCAACGACAGTCATTTGAAAGTTACATTGATTTATTTTATGGATTTGGAAAAAATGCCTAGACTACATAGAGTCATTTAAAGTTATTGGTGAACTAAATATAAATAAAAAGTAATTATAATACTTGCGAAACATAAGTGTCTGCATCGTCATTGCAAACGATATTCCTGTAACAGAACAACTTCACCTAAATGTTTGATTTTAATGATGGTGTTATGCTTTTGATACAATAGGGTATACATACAAGTATTTAGTTTATGCTATTATTTCATTGGTATCGAGTTACCGTAATTATACCCAGTGTGAATTATTTCCATATCTAGACAAGTACATGAAAAGACAACAAGTGAAGTACTACATACCACTGCCTAACCGCTATTAAACCGTCATATATATTTTGTTTTCTTGATATTAATTTTCGGCAATATTTTATTGTTGTAAAGAAAGAAAAAAACATTGTATTTTGTCCGATTCCACAGGAGTTCTAAATCTATCGCCAGTAAAATTTTGACTAAAATTTAAATATCGGAATGATAACATTCCAATTCTTCCCAAATGTCAAGCTAACAGTCTAGTTCCCGATATACGAGACAACCTCATTACGCTTCAAAACTCATCTCGAGGGACTAAACACAAATCGGGACCAACGGATTTTAAAGACGAGTTCTTTTTAGATACCGGACGTTTTGTAATGTGTGTCCATTTATTTCTTGGTGTATAGCTTTTTGTGATGTCTGTCAGTCCGTTTCTAGGAGACTTTCTGATTTGGGATGTCTGTCCGTCCGTTTCTAGGAGACTTTCTGTTTTGGGATGTCTGTCCCTCCGTTTCCAGGTGACTTTCTGTTTTGTGATGTCTGTCCGTCCGTTTCTAGGAGACTTTCTGTTTCGGGATGTCTGTCCCTCCGTTTCCAGGGACAAGATGTTTTGTGATGTCTGTCCCTCCGTTTCTAGGGGACAAGGTGTTTTGTGTTGTCTGTGTCTGTCCCTCCGTTTCTAGGTGACTGTCTGTTTTGTGATGTCTGTCCGTCCGTTTCTAGGAGACTTTCTGTTTCGGGATGTCTGTCCCTCCGTTTCCAGGGACAAGATGTTTTGTGATGTCTGTCCCTCCGTTTCAAGGGGACAAGGTGTTTTGTGTCGTCTGTGTCTGTTCCTCCGTTTCTAGGTGACTATCTGTTTTGTGATGTCTGTCCCTCCGTTTCTAGGTGACTAGATGTTTTGTGATGTCTGTCCCCCCGTTTCTAGGTGACTAGATGTTTTGTGATGTATGTCCCCCGTTTCTAGGAGACTAGATGTTTTATGATGTCTGTCCCCCCGTTTCTAGGTGACTAGCTGTTTTGTGATGTCTGTCCCTCCGTTTCTAGGTGACAAGATGTTTTGTGATGTCTGTCCCTCCGTTTCTAGGTGACTAGATGTTTTGTGATGTATGTCCCTCCGTTTCTAGGAGACTTTCTGTTTTGTGATGTCTGTCTCTCCGTTTCTAGGTGACTAGATGTTTTGTGATGTATGTCCCCCGTTTCTAGGAGACTAGATGTTTTGTGATGTCTGTCCCCC